TTATTCAGAGTGTAGCGTAAATACTAAGAGGAGTAGCAGTCTCTTCGATAGTGAATTTTGTGAGAAGGTGGCGGAGGTGGTGGTGGCGGTGGTGGTGGTGGTGGTGGTGGTGGAGGTGGAAGAGGAGGAGGAGGAGGAGGAGGAAGAGGAGGAGGAGGAGGAAGAGGAGGAGGAGGAGGAGGAGGTGGTGTTGGTTTTGAGAAAGAAGAGGAAAAGAAGGGGGAGAAAGAGGAGAGAAGAGAGGGAGAGTACGAGGATATAAAACCGTGACAGGACGCATGGCGATGGAGCCCGAGTGCCTGGAGCCTTTGAACTTGGTGATTAAGAAAGACGATACCGCTCGAGGAGGAACTGTGATCGAGGAAGAGAGGATCGGCAAGTCGATGAACGCGATCGACGAAGAAGAAGAGGAGGAGGAGAGCACGGAGTCAAGGATGATAGAGAACAACATGACGACGATACTGCAGGACGCCTGCAAGGCCGGCGAATCTGGTTTACCCATCGCCGATCAGAAGATTCTTACGGCCCTCTATATGAGCAGCCTGATGAACATGTCGAACGCCAGCACCCTGCCACGAAACGTGACGTCGTCCTCGTCGCCGCCGTACGCGGCGCAGCACAACTTCGTTCAGTTGCTGGCCATGCTCGAGGCGCGACACCGCGTGTGGCAACAGATGAACAACTGGCCGACACCGCAAAACTTTTTAAGAAATCCTTTGGGCCTACCTCCGCAACCTTATTTCGCGGACTCACCGAGCGCGAATCAGCTAACCGAACAATTGTGCACCTCGCAAAATCCCGCGCCGTCCTTTCCCTTATCCTCCGCGAAGGCCGAACCTTCGAACCACGAGGCGAAGCAAGCTTATTTTAAACGGTAACGATATACGAACGAAAACTGCTTTCCTAAAAAAAAGAAAAAAAAAAAAAAAAAAAAAAGAAAAGAAAAGAAAAGAAAAAAAAGAAAGAAAAAACCGGGAAATAACATCGTCTTGTTCATCACGACGCTTCTCGTCTCTAAGTCAAGTTTTTCAACTTATTATCCGTAAAACGTTCTTGTTGTCGTTTTTCCAGGTCTACGATAGAACAGAAAAATTCTACGTCGTTACCCGCGGACAATGCGAAAAACCAAGATACAGGACAACAAAACAATCAAGGTAAGGCCCCTGTGTACTGAAAAGTCCTCCGTCCCCCTTTAACATCCAATATATAGTCCCCCTTTTTAACGATTAATCCGTAAATTTGACACACTTTTTTTGTTTGTATCTTCTTTGACAGATAAAAAGAAACCCCATATAAAAAAGCCTCTGAACGCATTTATGCTCTACATGAAGGAGATGAGGGCAAAGGTAGTAGCCGAGTGTACCTTAAAAGAAAGCGCTGCCATCAACCAAATATTGGGAAGACGAGTGAGTAATAACGTTCTCTCGATTAATCGTCTTACTATTAAGACCAATGTTTTTCTCTACGTTCGAAACGAAGATAATTATTTACTCATCAAAAACCTATTACAAATTACGATAATCATTTCGTTATATCCATTCGATTTTATAAAAAGAAAAATAAAAAAATAAAAAGTAAAAGGAAAATTCAATCTCCGATTCGAACGCAAGATGAAAAAGAAGTAGTTAATATTCGTCCAAGTCAATATCTCCTCCGGAATGTCTTTCATCCGTACATTCCCCGAGATTATCGTTTTCAATCAACCTCAGATTAGTCGTAACTGACGCATAAAATGGATCGCTAAAAATCCGCTTTCGCTTGAAAAGAAAGGAAGAAGGAGAAAAAAAGAAAAAGAAAAAGAGAAAAAAGAACGAAGAAAAAAAGAAAAAAAAAAAAAAAAAAAAAACGCGCGCAACAAAGATAGAAGGAAGAGATGTTGGCTTGTCGGCGAGAAAGAGTTTGAATGTTTTCAGATATCGAAAGAAAAAAAAAAAAAAAAAAAAAAAAAAAAGAAAAAAAAACAGAGAAAAAAAAACAGAAAAAAAAACAGAAAAGAAACCAGAAAAAAAAACAAGACTAAAAAAAAAAAATATATACATAAGTATTATTATTAATCATAATAATAATAACGAGAGACAAAACGAGAGAAAGTCCCTTTAACGCATCTCGATAATGCATGCGTCTTTTTAACACCTTTGGAATACATATATATATAAAATATATATTATTCGCGTGTGTTGTTTTTCGAAAGAGATATATATATATACTAACCGTATACCTGCTAGTATCTCAGTACGTATAGAGCATTGTAGGTGGGATCTAAGGAAATCTCAGTACGCCGTAGATCTCTCTGTTCGTGGGTTATGGGGAAATTGGGGAAAGGTGGGGGGGGGGATTGTTGGGAAGGGGGTGGGCCGAGGGTAAAGGGAGGGAGTAAATGACGAGGGTTGTTGTACGAGATATAAATACGATAGAAGAGGGTCGCGTCGTCTACCTAGCCGATGATCTCTGTGTGTTGTTCTATATCGGCGGCGGCCTCTATCTATCTTTCGAGATAAAA